TATGTTTAAAGAAGAAAAAATTGATTATCCTCAGAATTAAAATATTTTAGATTTCACATAGGTACATTACTAAAATATATACAAAATAATGCTACTGATAAGAATCCACTGTTTTAAATTTTTCTTTTTTAATTAACTATTTTGAATGTTGCATTTTGCTTCCTGATATTTTCTATAACCTAACATATGAAAACATTTTTTTTAGCTTATGATTGCCCCAGGAGTAGAGGAGACTGCATTGCTAATTCGACAAATTGCTGATCATAATTTAATGGCCTCAAAGAGAGATCCTCATGAATGGTTGGATAAATCCTGGGTTGAAGTTTCATCATCAAAGGTATATTTTTCTAAGAGCATAAATTAGATATCCATAAAGCAAATAGGAATGCTTATACTTGAATTTCCTTTTTGATAGCACATTTTTTCCAAGTGTTCCAAATTGAGTGTTAGGTTTAATGACAAACATTTTAGAGTGAGTAGAAAAAAATGGGTCACTTTCAAAAACCACTGGCCAATTATTTCTTAAATTCTTTTCTAGGAAGAAATGTACTTACTTGATTTTCCATGTATTAACCCATTGGTGGCTCAGCTCATGTTAAATAAAGAGCCTTCATTGAATCAGCTCTTCTTAGCAACTTCCGGTCAACTTCAGGAACTCTTACCTGAAGTTCCAGAAAAAGTATTGAAGGTTAGTTATTTAGTTTAATATCCTTAATAAGTTTGTTTCCTTCCCATTTGAGTATACATTTTTAACATGAGTTTCAAAATAAAGGTATCCAAAAAGTAAATTAAAATAAAATAAAGATATCTGACTTTGTTTTGGACTTTTAAAGACATCAATTTCACGTAGTTATTACCTGTCAATCATTATACATGTTAAAATTTTCATATAGATAATTCAGTACAGTTTGTCATACTTTAAATCATTTTGAAATAGTACCTATAAATACTCAACTATATACACTTTTATGTAAATTACCTCTTCCAAAATACCTGATCTCCTCCATTATGCAGTAAAGAGAACCTTAGCCTTCTTGGCTAATATTTTTAAATATCAAGGAAATACAATTCATGCAACTAAAAACTCTAATGTATTTGCTGTGAATTTAAAACTGCTCTAAAAATGAAGTTTAGGGCCTCGGATTTAGCTTAGTGGTGCTGCAGCCTGTCTCGGAAGCATAGGGTCCCAAGTGTGATCCCCAGTACCAAAAAAAAAAAGTTTAAAAATTCTATATTATAAGTGATGACAAAAAAGATACAAATTACAATTAAGTTTTTATTTAATGGAGCCTAATGATTTTATGTTCCTAATAACAATCAGTGTCATCTCTATAGACTATTTATATTTTTCCTTCTTTCCATACAGATAAGCATCATTTTTATATTTACTAGGCTGTTGCTCATATTATGTTGTATTGATCAGTTTTTTAATTTTTTTAGCATTTTTGTAGCATCACTTCCTTATTCAAGATTAGTTCTTCCTCCACAACAAAATCACCTCAAACTTTATCACTCCAGGAAGAAAGGAATCAGACTAGTACCTTTATTTCTCAGAGTTCAGCTTCTGGCTCTTCAGAGTCTGTCATCCAAGGACATAATGACTACTACTCCTACTCAGACTTAGGAGAGACAGCACAAGAAGACACAAATACCACTTCAAATTATAACTCTTCTTTTGTGGAACTAAGAAAAATGCAGAGCTTTTTACCATCTGTGACTTCCTACAATCAGACCAACTACTGGAAAGACTTCTGTTCTAGCCCTAATACAGTGCAAAACAATCCTTTTCTAATTAATACAGAATCAAACAAAGCAGCTTGTAACTCTTTTCCAAAGCAGAATGATTCAGAGTCGGATGTCTTTTCTTTGGGCCTAAAACAAATACACTGTGAAACCATAAAATCAGTTGGTACTCAGAGAAGAACTGGCCCTAATTTTATATATTACCAGAAGAAGGGAACATGTATATCAAAAGGAACTACAAACAAACAACTGTCTCCTCCTGTCTTTTCACTAGAGGGCCCTCAATCTCCTCTTCATTGGAACTTTAAGGAAAATATACGTGAAAAACAGAATCACTCATTCAATTTAAAATACAGAGCAGAGCAGACCACCAATGACAAATGGTACTCTCAGAAAGACAATTTATTCACTAATCAGCAAATGTATCTGTCAGATGAATTAAAAGGTTTCACATGTGAAAGTTCAACTCGTGAGACTAAAGAGACTTTCTGGGAAGAATTACCATCTGTTCCCAGTTTGAATATATCCAGTGCTTCTGACTGTTATGTAAACCAAAAAGAACTGGACAGCTTTTATTTTTACAAAAGGGGTGAAAAATGTTTAGGACACAAAAGGCACCCTGAATCTGCATCCAACTCAGGAAACAAGGAATCATTAACAGGTAATTGTCTAATATTGATAAAGCTTTCAAATTTCATTTTAAAAGATAGAACATCTCCAAATTTTTAATTAAATATTAATAAATATTTGTTTTGACTACTGTTCTTAAAAGTCTGCAATAACTATTGGGTCAAAGAGAAAAATCAAAACTTTCTGAACTAAGAAAATAAATTCAAAGAATGTATGTCAAATTCTTATAATTTTAAATGAACTAAGATTCCGTTTAAATTAAAAATATCTGGGCTTGGTGGCACACACTTTTGATCCTAGTACCTGGGAGGCTGAGGCAGGAAGATTGCAAATTAGATTTCAGCAATTTAGGAAGACCTGTCTCAAAATACTAAAGAAAAAAAGGGTTGAGGATATAGCTCAGTGTAAAGGCTCTCAGTTCAATTCCCAGTACAGGCAGAAACAAGAAGTTAAAAATAAAAACAGACTTGAGCCAGGCATGGTGGTTCACGCTTGTAATCCCAGCACTTGGAAAACCGAGGCAGGAGGATTGCCACATGTTTGAGGCCATCCTGGGCTACATAGTGAGTTCAGGCCCAGCCTGAACTAAGAAAGGGAGACCCTGCCTCAAAAATAAGTGATTAATTAATTGAAAGCAGAACAAATATAAATAAAGCAGAAAACTAAAATCAATAGAAATCATTGAGTTAGACAGCCTCTTTTGGGCGGCCTGTATGTTTAACTGGCACAGTAAAAGCTCATTGTGTTCTAGGAACCATTCTAAGCCCTTTATGTGGTGTGTTAATTTAATTCTAACAATTCTATTAAACAGGTACTACTATTAACTACACTTTGATGGAGTTTTTCACTTGTCTGAACATGTTATAACAGTTTCTAAAAAGGAAATTTTATTTTCTCATCTCTAGAAATTATATCCTTTTTATGTCATTTCTGAATGAATTGGCCCAAGCAACTACGACAAAATATGAAGTTCTCAAAAAAAAAAACATGAAGTTCTCATGGCCGCACAAGTGTGGTCTACCACGATAGAAAAGAGATGGGGCTGGGGGAGGAAGATGGAACTTTAAAGCTTCTGCTCTACAGAGGCCTTTTCTAAGACCTGCAAAGGGCCCAGAAAATCTCATATTCTTTGTTTCATTACAAGAGAGCCTCCCAAACTGTACGATCCCCAGGACTCACAAACTTGCACTTTTCTCTATTTAATAGGCATAACTTATTTTCCTCCTGATTTTAGTGGGAAACATGATATCCCTAGTTTTGTAAGAATTTTTGTAAGGAATGGATAGGAAAAGATGAATTTTATCTAAACTCCTTTTACTATCTATAGGGAAAAATCAAATATGCTTTCTCTATTGAGCTACTGATATTAAATCGTCATTGCCATTTTTTGATAAGCCTAATTATATTTTTTAAAAATTATAATCATTAGTGCATATTAATTATACAAGGTAATGAATTTCATAGATGCATGTAAGTGCTTTGTAAATATGGATGCTAATATTTATTTATAATTGTTTAACATGATATTCTAATTTTTTTCCTAATTAAACTATTATTGTGCTTAGGCCAGCAGTGGATTTAATGTTGATTTTTTTTAACTGTTGTTATTTTTAGCTTAACTGCATCTTGGCCAATTTATCATTTTTCTTTCCTTTTATTAATGATGACTCTTTATCTACCTTAGCAAGGATGTAGTGAATTCCTCTAGCAATCTCTTCATGAACATTTTCATCTGTGAACCTACTTGGGATGTTTTGTAGTAGTTAACTTGGGATTGGTGGGTGTTTTGTACATTGAATGACTATATGGGTAATAATATATGGAGACCCATATGAATAATGTATAGATATATCATGAATAGGGATTACTGTGTACAAAAGATAAATTCATTTCATGGGAAAGCTTCCTGAAAATATAGAAAAAGAAATTAAAATATTTTTAGAAATTTTAGAAATGGCTGTGGAAGACTAGAAAACAACACTTTGTATCAAGTGGGTTGCTTGAAATTAGCCACAGTGAAAGTCTTTTTTTTTTATTTTTATCGAGTTTATTGGTACAATCTAAGTATACAGTACAGTTACATTCATTACTGGGATCCTGTACCTTCACATGACAAGTCTTGGTTCTCATTTTTTCCCCTTGTCCCTGTCCTTCCTTCACCCCCTCCTCACCTCCCCATTTACAAACACTTTATTTCCATTTTTTCGTTTTCTCTTTTTTTTTCTTTTCCCTTATTCCCTTTCCCCTACCTTTCCCACTTTCCCGACACCTTTAGTCCTTTTCTTCCTATTTCACACTATTAATTATCCCATCAGGCTCTTGTGTGCTATTATAGTTTACCACAGAAATTGAGTTACCACAAATCAGTCCTTTACACCTCCACCCCATGCCACCCTGAAAGCCGGTTGTTAAACAGTGCCAGCCGTGGATGTCCCATAGCTTCACAGTGAGGGACCAGTACCCTGCTGTTATTAACATTTCCTAATTATTCATGTGTCTAAGTATATTCCTTAATTGGAGCTAAAGATCTCATTTCCATACATTAATTTACAGATTGATTTCTGAACACATTCCTGGACTTATATCCTTAGTGAATATGATCTCCACAGTCTAGAGGCTGCTCATAAAACTAGCTGAAGGGAAAAAGAGAATAGAAATGGGAGGCCTGAGGGTGTAGTTCAGTGGTAGAGTGCTTATCTAGCATGTGCAAGGCTCTGGATTAAATCCCAGAACCCAGGAAAAAAAGAATGGGAACAGGAAGTGCAAAGTATAAAGAAAAGGAAAAGAACCTGATGGAATTCCATGTACCTTTGTTACACAGACGGACTCAGAAGGTAGAGACCAGGGGCTATGTCACTGTTTGAGGTTTAAAATCAATGTGGGTGGGCCTCTAACTTTTGTGCTAAGTAATAAAGACATACAGAAAACCTGCAAGAATCAGGGCCAGGGATTTAGCTCAGTGGCACCATGCCTATCTCACAAGCACAAGGTCCTGAGTTCAATCCCCGATACCGGGGGTGTGGGGGGGAGATTTTGCAAGAATCAGAAAGCCCTACCTGAACTGCCCAAACCATTTCAGGTGGTTTTACTTAAAAATATTAGAACTCTAAGAGATCTTAGAGATCATATCTAAATATAATTTTACAGAAGAAGTTCAAATCCAGGGAGATTTGCTATTTGCACAAGGTATGTGCATACTAATTTTTAATACTGGGCCATTAGGTATGGCTGTATGTATATTAAAATGTATTTTCATCATTAGTATTTATCTCAGTTTGGAATTTTTAACTGTAAATAGGTGATGAGACAGGACCCATTTGAGGAGCTAGAAAACAATAGCTACTTTAGTAACATAGTCAATAAAATATATTCAATACTTTTTCTCTTTTAACAGGTGTAACGTACTCACAACTACCACAACTCAAAAAACGGCGTCTAATGTATGAAAAGGTCCCTGGAAGAGCTGATGGACAAACTCGGCTGAAATTTCTTTGAAAGCGGGAAAGAACAGCATTTTATGCTATATTCACTGCTTTTCATGATAATCCAGTAACAGAATTGGATTTTACATTAAAGAATATGCAATTATTTTCACATGTTCTCAATATTTTGATGATATATTCTGTACTATAGCTTAAATCTTTGGACATTAAATATTCTGATTTATGAGTTATTATAATTATAACTAGATTCAGAATATCTTCCAGAGTCACCTAAATATTGCAAGCCTTTTATAATTGCAAAGCTGTTTACAATGTAAGCCATCAGTCTTACAAGTGAATCAAGTGAAGATCACCAGAGTCAATATTCCAACACCAAAAAACTAAGCCAAAATAGAAGTTAGAGAACTTTTGATTTTTAGCATTGTTTTCCATAAACAAAATTTAGAAACAAATGACTAAGGAAATATTTACAATCTAAATTACAGGGAAAAGGTTTACATTCCTAATATACAAAGAATTCATACAAGCTGATTTTTTGAAAAGACAACTTACTAGAAGAATGGAGGAAATATAGTATGTAAGTAGTTAATTCTTAGAAAAAACAAAAATAGCCAATAAATATTTGAAGCAGTAATCATCTTCTTTGCTTTTTTAGGCAACTACAAATTAAAACAGTGGCTGTTTTTTCAGTTGGCAAAATTTTTGAAATTTCTAATTATTCAGGAACAGCATATTGGAGAAAAGAATACTTTCTTATATTGCTGGTACAACTTTTTTAGAGCACAGTTTGTAAAATGTCTACTAAGATGGAAAATGCCCCTAGATTTTGACTTAGCACTTGTATGTCTAGGATTGTCTTAAATGTCTAACTACAAAATGGAATGTTATTACTATAGTTTGTAGTAGTAAAAATTGTAGACCAAAATGGTATTAGGTGGGGGAATAGGTAAGCAATTTAGATCACAGAATGCTGTGAAAGTATTATGAAGTAAATCTGTGTATCCTATATATATTTTTCTTTTTTGGTTTTTTGATACAGAGTCTCACTACGTAGTTGAGACTGACAATCTGTGTATTCTAACCAGAGAAGATGCCCATAACATAAAGAGTGAAGAAGAAAAAAATCCAAAACAATTGCACAATGTCATTTTATTTTTGTTGTTGTTTTTTGGGGGGTTTTGTTTGTTTTTTGAGACGGGGTCTCACTATGTAGTTGAGACTGACCTGGAACTCACTATGTAGCCCAGGCTGGTCTCGAACTCACAGCGATCCTCCTGCCTCAGCCTCCCGAGTGCTGGGATTACAGGCGTGCACCACCACACCTCGCTCTGGTGTATGATTTTTGTTCTCAAGAAACACTAAGGGAATTCAAGGATTGTACCTGACTGAAATGAGTTGGGTAAAAATCCACACAATGCAGCTCATAAGGTCTTTGTGCCGCACTCAGTGTACCACAGCTGGCATTTCAATTTTCTAACTAAAATGGACTTTCAGTTTCAGAAGGACTTTACTAACTCCTTCCACCACCTGACAGACAGTAATTCTCAAGTTCCAACTTGGCTGAGAAGTTTTGCCGCCTCCCCTTTCTTAAATCTCTCTACTTTTTTATTATCTCCTTTTCTCTTTCTTTTGTTCTTTTCCTTGAGCAAAAAGAGTTGTGAGCATAGGAGTTAGGCAGGCTGGCTGGTTACAGAGTTGGGCCTCTAGGTCCGCAGGCAAACAGAGTTAGGATGAGAGCAAAGGTTGTCATCTGTCACACACATGGATGTACTGTATTGTGAAGGTACAGATGACAGTTTAGATATATGATGGCAGAAAAGAAGGACTCAGGAATGATATGGAGGATTTTAGCCTGAGAAGCTAGAAGGATGATATTTCCATTTATAGATATGGGGAGACTATGAGCATAGCTTGGAGAGAAGATCAGGAGCTGTTTTTAGGCAAGCTAAATTTGAAATACCTTCTGGACTTCCAAGTGAAGACACTGAGTAGGTACTGGCATTAAGACTCAGGTTCAGTAGGATATAAAAACATGAGAAAAATAAGTTTGAGAAACTTTAGGCTTTGGTGGTATTGAAAGCCATGATACTATATATGATTACCAGGTTAGTAAATACAGATCTTAAAAAAACAGAAAATTCCGACTAAGCTCTGGGGCAATATTAGAAACAGAAGAGAAGGGAGAGGAGACAGAAGGAGCAAGTGGTGAGGTAGGAGACCGTGATGTCATGGAAGCCAAATGAAGGTGCTGCCAAGAGATCGATTGTGTGAGCAGCTACTGAAGATCAAATGGGAGGAGAAAAATAACCATTAAGTTTATCAAAGTGGAGATCCTTGATGATTTTGATAAAAGCAGTGTTTGAAAGAATAGTGGGGGCAAAAGCCTTACAGATTCAAGAAAGCCCAGCAAGTCAGGAGCGGTAGCACATACCTGAATCCTAGCCACTCAGGGGGATGAGGCAGGAGGTACACAAGTTTGAGGCCAGCCTGGGCAACTTGGGAAGACTCAGTGTAAGGCTAAAAAAAAAAAAAAAAAAAAATGTTGATGATGTAGCTGAGCAGCAGAGTTCTCCTGAGCATCCGAGTTCAGCAGGGGGCGGGGGAAGAAGGGAGAGAGGTCAGAATATACAACTTTTAGATAACTTCTGTTGTCTATACAAGAGTAATGGGGTGTTAGCTAGAGGAAGAAGTCAAGAGAGACTCTTGTTAAGATAGAGGTTCTCGGCCAGGGATTTCACTCAGTGGTTCCACCACCTGCCTCGCAAGCACAAGGTCCTGAGTTTGATCCCCAGTACAAAAAAAAAAAAAAAAAAAAAAAAAAAAAGGAGAAAAAGATAGAGGTTCTTAATCATGCCAGGCTGACAGGGAAAATCCGTCAAGAGGTAAAAGTTGATGATGAAGAGAGGGAGAGACAGAAACGGAGATGTGGTAGATTATGGATGGTCCCTCTGATTGTATTTTTTCCCCTCGGAATTTTTCTATATCAGTCAGGGTTTGACATAGAATACAGGATTTCCTATAAGAATAAGACCTTACACAATTGTAAGAACTGGTTAAAAATTCTATAGAAGACTGTTGCCTTTGTATCGAGTGCTGAATCTGAGAGCCGGGGATTTAGCTGTCGCCTACCCCACAAGCCCGTGGTCCCGAGTTTGATCCCTGATATTAAAAAAAAAAAAAAAAAAAAAACCCAAAATAAAAAATTGTTGAATCTGAAATCACTTTAGGTCAGCAGAAAGGAGACATGGAAGCAAAGCAAGGGAGAACATGGTACACCAAAACTTGCCGGCATGAACGAGAACTCACAAGGAAAGCTTAGAACCCATGTCTGTGTCTTGCTACTTTCAACTCTGATGCTATGAAAGTGGGGAAGCCAAGACTGGGGATGGAGGAACAGGTGTTAGTGCTTTACGAAGAAAGAAGTTAGGAAATAGTCGCCTAAGAGAGTGAGAGGGGGTGAATCAGGGAAATAGAGTATCTGTTTACCATAGTAAGAGACCTCTAAAGTTAGTGTTCGTGAATTTTAGTAAGATCACACATGGGGCTTGGATGCTGCTCACTGGTAGAGCATTTTCCCAGCATGCACAAGGCCCTGAGTTCAATCCTCAACACGGAAGGGAAAAAAAGTCACAAATAGAAGTGCTCCCAGTAGAAAGGAAGACAACATTAGATTTGCCTTTAAGAGTGTTTGGCTTAGCCAACACTGTGTAAGGAAGCAAAACCAAGATATTATAGGGAGTGAACAGTTAACCATGGTAAATGGACACAACGTATATTCTGCTGTAAACCGAGCTATGCATACAACCTCCACTCACAACTTTCTATAAACCATGCTTACCCCTCTGAGGCCAAACCTAAAGTCCATGTAGAGTCCTTCCTGCCACAGTGGCTTTCTGGGATAGGGTTGCTACTTAGGTGCTGGAAACAGCAGCACAACACCCAAATGCCTCCCTCAAGCCAGCCACCACACACCAGGATTTAAAAGGCTCTCTCCCACCTAGCAGAGTGGCTACCAGCTCACTTACAGAGCTCTTCTCCCCACCTCTCTCCTCGTCCCCCTCCTCTCTTCCCTTTTTCTCTCCTCTGTTCCCCTCCCCTCCTCTCTGGACTCATTGTGTCCTCTCTGTCCAAGATCTGTCAGTAAGAAGTCTTCGAATGAATTTCCTATCGCAGGGCTGTAGTGAATTTGTGCTTCCCATCTGAAGAGCCGGGGGCAACGGTTGCAAATATCCCTGCGCAGTACTGGCGAGCTGTGAGTGTCACCTGCTTCTTGCTTTCCATAATTTGGCTATACTGTTTTATATCAGGATTCAGACTGAAGCTCTACGTGACTCCAATGGGCATGTCACAGGGTGGACCCCTCGCCCAGTGGCTGCCATGAAAACCTAGGCCCCGGGCTGTGAAGTGGCCGGGCTCTGCTGAGTTCCATGCAGCTGAGGTCAGCATGACCCCAATTAAAATCCTTTCCCCTGAATTATGGCTTCTCATTGACCCAATGGGTTGCTTGCTAATGGTACACTGTGTCTGTTTGTTCTATCCAAGCAAGATAAGCAGTGCTTGCTCCCTAACAGCCCTGCTTGACATCATCCTGCCAGGTGTCTGGCAGTATTACACTAGATGCCTTCAAAGCATGCCTGGTTCCCTATTCTTTCCCATGTATTCAATAAATCCTGAATGCACTTAGGGACCTTTGTCTTTGCTGTCATCAGCAGCACTGATCATACCCCAAGACGCAGCTTCACTCTAAAGTCTAGTTTCCTGTCTTTATTCTTTCATCTTGTGATGTAGTGGCTTACAGGAGGCCAGACCCCATGGCAGAGGTTTTGGCATTGTTCCTTTCCCCATCCCCTATTGACAATCCCAGGCCAGATTTTCCCCAGGGCAAGGAGGAAAATACACATGTCAGGCTCCTAGCGCCAGGCAATGGTCAGAGAGACATCAACTGGACCAGGTCAAACAAGAGACAACAGGACTATAATGTTTTCTCAACATGCCTCCTGCTACTGAAGATTAGAGGCCTAAGGTTAGGTTTGTCCAACTTGAACAGTTATAGGCCCATTACTTCTCAAATCATTTAAAAAATGTGACAGGTTCTGATTTGTTTCCAGTGATTTCCATGCCTTAGTCACCGCACTTAATGTCTTAAGGATATTAGCCCAATATCACTCAGATATATGTCAGATATTTTTTCTGTCTTTTGCTTTCTTGATTTGTAATGATCATTACAAAGTCAATTCAATATTTAAAACATTTAATTTTATTACCTCATAAATATCAGTAAAACTAATTTAATATAGTTGTGTATGCACATGCTTCTGTTTTGATTTCTGTTTACTGCCTTTAGGAAGACTCTCCTAAAGTTTTATATACTATTCTCCTAA